TGGCAAGCCCGGCTAGGGGCTGGGAATGGAGGGTGACCCAGCAGGGAAATTGGCTTTGAAGGCCAGAGGGATACAGCACAGATGCTGTTAGCCACAGGCCCCTCCTTCTTGGCACTCCCTCCATCCTGGGGCCCCAGAACTCTGTGGTATATGGGACCAGGCAGTCTCCTAGCTGTCCTCCTGCCCCCGGGCCATCAGTGGTGAGCACTCTAGCCACAGCTGGCCTTAAGGCCTGGAGCAGATTCCACATACAGAAAACTCTAGAACAGATGTGAAGATCCTGTGTGGTAGAATCTGGGAGAATCTCTGGTAATGCATGGCCCCCTTGCCCCAAGAAGCTCGCTCTGAAGTCAGGGAAAGAAGGAAGAGAATTTGGGGTTCCAACCGCCACCTGCTCCTGAACAGGACAGCAGTCAGTCGACGGGCAGCTGGATGCTAACTTGGGGGGACCCCTGGAGCCCCGTGGTGAGGGCAGTGTAGTAGCTCCTGCCAGCATCTACAAGGAAACAAGTCTGTCTTGCCTGTGCTCTCCCCTGCACGCATGCAGCTGGCAGGTTGCATGGGAAGGGAAGGTGAGAGAAGCAGGGCGGCCATGATTCCACAGGGACCGTTAATCCTCATTTTCCCAGCCAAGAAACAGGAGACACCAAAGGTTCATGTCTGCTCAAGGTCACCCAGAGCAGGACCTGAGCTCAGGATTTCTGGAACTCTGACTCTGGTTGAGGAAGGGCTGTGGGGCGTATGACTGGGCAGAGGTGGGCGGAAGAGGCTGGAGCACCATGCACAGATGGCGGCCACCCCGCTTCCTGCAGCTCTCCCAGCCCCAGCTTGGGTGCTGGGCAGGCAGCCGGAGTTTATCAAAGCTCCACTCAATTATGCTGCCCATCTGTCTCCGTGGCTCAGGGGGACCTGGCACTGCTCACCAAGGCTGGCCCATCGATCACCGCCTGCCGTCCTCCCTCCTGACCCTCCAGTGCTGGGGCTAGATGGAGCTGCTGGGGCAGAGAGGAAGAGGAGGGAAGGGAGAGGCACTGCTGCGGGCACAGGGACTGAACCCTGAAGGAAGGGAGAGGGTGACCCCGACACAGACCACAGCTGCCTCCAGCTGTCTCCCCAGAGCTTTGCCAAAGGCCCGTAGCCTAAAAGAGGGGGGATATGGCCTGGTAACCTAGTGGCTAAAATCTTCGCCTTGTATACACCAGGTTCCCGTATGGGCTCCGGTTCTAATCCCTGCTGCTCTACTTCCCATTCATCTCCCTGCATGTAGCCTGGGAAAGCAGTTGAGGATGGCCCAAAGCCTTGGGATCCTGCACCCGTGTAGGAGACCAGAAAGAAGCTCCAGGCTTCTGGCTTTGGATCAGCTCAGCTCTGGCCATTGTGGCCATTTGGAGAATGAACCAGTGTGACTGAAAATCTTCCTCTCTGTCTCTCCTTCTCTCTGTATACCTGCCTTTCCAATAAAAATTAATTAATCTAAAAAAGAGAGAGGGGGGATAAAGTCCAAGCTTTCTGCTAAATCCAGGGAAGCTGCCTGGGGGAGGCAGGTCATAGAGCCAATCTTTCCAAGAGAAAACCTTGCTCGTGGAGGAAACAACCAAATTGCTCTTCCAAACTTTGCTTCCTGGGACCTTCTGGCTCCTGTTCCAGAAGCCCACATGGCTGACCATGGAGCAGTCGGACGGCTGTTGTACCACACAGGTACCACACATCCTAACTGTTCCCAGGCCCAACCATCCCCACAGAGGAACAGAATCTGAGGGTCCCAAGCCTGAGGTGGTGGAGTGGGAGGAGCCACGTCTACAGGGTGCAGGGAGGAGCCAGCTCCTGAATGTCAGGCATCAATCTGCATTGGCTGGACTAGGTCAGAGGCCCTGGATTGACATCCTGGCCCCACCACACAGAGCTGTGCCTTCCCCTTGCCAAGGCCAAGGAAGCCCTGTGCTTCCTTAGGGGTTGATGGGAGGACCCTGTAGAATGCATGTGTAAGCCACGTGTTACTATGGATGTCCGGTCCCAGCCCTCCCAACCCCCCGCCCCATGTGCTTAGTCCTACCCCAGCTCTCAGGGGATGCAGGAAGTCTGTAAGACATCTTCCCTGTCACCAAGAACCTGAACCCCGGTGGGCAGGAGACAGGTGCCTGCGATAGGCCGGGCTGCTGCTTCCCCAGGAGGCTGCTGTGGAAGGCCAGCTAACCCAACTCTCCTACAGCTCCGCAGGCAACACAGCGCTGACAGCTGCCTCCTGCAAAGGGCTATGTGCCTAGCCCAGCTCTAGAGTCAGAGAGGGCAGCATGAGCACGTGTCAGCAACTGTGCCCTCTCTCTGGAGTTCCAAACCCAGAGCTGGGCCCAGCTGCCTCACTCATGCAGCCCAGCCAGGGTAAGTTAAGGTGATGGAGGCTGCCTGGGGTCCGAGGCGCACCCCCAGAAGACTTTAATTCTGTTTTTTAAATAAAGATTTGTTTGTTTGAAATAGCTACATGGGGCAACACCATGGCTCAACAGGTTAATCCTCACCCTCCAAGGACCATGTGGGCACCAGATTCATCCCAGGTGCTCTAATTCCCATCCAGCTCCCTGCTTGTGGCCTGGGAAAGCAGTCAAGGACGGCCCCAAGCCTTGGGACCCTGCACATGCATGGGAGACCCAGAAGATCCTGAGTCCTGGCTTTGGATTGGCTCAACTCTGGCCATTGAGGCCATAAATAAATCTTAACAACAAAGAAGAAGCTACAGAGAGGGAGAGACAGAAAGATCTTCCATTCTCTGATTCACTCCCCACAATGGCCAGGGCTGGGCCGAGGCCAGGAGCTTCTTCCAGGTCTGGGCTAGGCCAAAGCCAGTAGCCTGAAAACTCCATCCAGTTCTTCCATGTAGATGGCAGTGACCCAAGGACTGCAACTATCCTCTGCTGCTTTCCCAGGCTGTAAGCAGAGAGCTGGATCAGCTGGGGCAGCTGCACTCTTAGTGCAGTGGAGTGTTCATGCAGCTCTTAGAACAAATGGTTGAGGGAAGAGAGAGAAGCAGGGGCCCACTGCCAAGAGCCTGCTGCCTCACTAGCCATCACCTATCTGCTCACATGGGCTCCCTTAGTTGTCTTCGCTTCCCAGCCAGTACAGCATTCTTTGATGATGATGATGGTGATGAAGATGAAGACAAAGAGATCTTGCATTCACCAGCCCTCTCCTCCAAAACCCACAACAGCCAGGACTGAGCCTAAGCAAAACTGGGAGCCAAGAGCTGCATCCAAGTCTCCCACGTGGGTGTCAGGGACCCAACTGTTTGAGCCATCCCTTGCTTACTCCCCAGGGTGGACACCAGCAGGAAGCTGGAATCAGGAAAGCCAGAACTGGAACCCAGGCACTCAGCCATGTGATCCAGGCATCCCTGACCCAACACCCAGCCCCATCACGGTACCCTAAACATGGGGCCATGTTGCCTGCTTCACCCTTCTCTCCCCACTGTGGGCAATGCAGTGGAAAAGCTTTGTGTGGCTGGTGGGCCTATTGTTCCCTAACAAGTCCTGGAGTTGGTGAGCTGCCACCCCATCCCCAGCCCTGCCCCAGCTCTCACCCTAAGAAGCAGCCTGAGCTAGAAGCAAGTCTCGTTGGTGGAGCTGTGTGGCATGGGTGTCCTGGCACCCTTATCTTAGGCAGCAGGAAACAGATGTGCAGAACAGGCCCGTGGCTTTTCCCAGGTGGTTCTGGCAGAGGGGACGTGGGTCCTGGCCTGTTTGGTCTGTTGACGCGTGCCAGATGCCAGAAAGGAATTGGTGGCCCCTGGATGGGACTGTGGAGGGACCTCAACCTTCACTCCAGTGACACAGGGAGCATGGGCCCTGGAAAAGCTCAAAGCCAGCCCCTTGGCCACCAAGAGCTGGGAGAGATTTCAGAGGAGCTGTCATGGGAAGTGACTGAACTTGGGTCCTAATGGAGCTGGAGTTGTCCGAGAGACCATGAAGGGACAAGAGGCAGAGAGGAGGTATGTCAGAAGGACATCAACCCCAAAGGCCTGTGCACAAGACAAGCCAGAAGAAGTGGCCAGGCCTGCTCACAGAAGGTCTAGCCACAGGGCGGATGTGGGTTTCTGGACCCCACTGCCTCCAGGCAGCTCCCTCTGCCAGGCTGCTGGGAAAGGGTGAGCCTGTCTCCAGGGTGAGGAAGTTGAGACAAACTCAAGCAGGACTCTCTCTCTCTCCCTCTCTCTCTCTCATACACACACACACTGGGAGAGCCACAGCAGGTGGCTGTGGGGCCTCCCACCTATCTGGATGTCAACCCTCTGTGTCCTGGGGCCTATCTCAGATACTGGAAGCTGCACTTGGCACCCTGGCCGCTTCCCATCTCCTGCCTGCTGTGCCACAGAGCAGCCCAGAGCTGTCTTCTTGGTCTCCAGTTATCCAGCGAACTAAGGAGGGCATGGAAGAGGTTAGGTAACCCATGCTTCATGTCTGGGTTCAGAAGAACTGAGCAAGACAAACATTCAAACTCCTCACACACACATACAAGCATGAGCAAACATAGCCAGGTGTGTGCACACTCCTTTCTCAGAGTTATCCTGGATCTTTGTCAATGGTTTCTAACGGCTCACTCTTGAGCAGGTCATGGCAGAGGGTAACTAGGAGTCTTAAGGACCACAGGATGGGGCCTGGCTCTGGCCTTGGCCATGCCCCTCGCAGCACTTTAAGCATCTTGAGTCCCATAAGGGATGCGGGAGGAGTGGAGAAAGGCTGTCTCTTGCCAGCGCCCTAACTCTAGTCTTCTTCTTCTAGGGCTATCCCCAACAGGGAGTGGCAATGAGCAGGCAGGCCCAGCCTCGGTGGACAAGGAAGAGGAGCCGCACACAGGAGGGCAAGCGGTGACGCCCTGGCCCCTTGTAGAATGGCTGCCACGAGCAGGTGCTTCCCCAGGCCCTGGCCAGGCTGCTGAGGTTCACCTGAAAACCACAAGGAGCAGGACCCTGCGTGCATCTTGTGGATGGTCCCCTGCCCTGCACCTCCACCATGGGGCTCCTAGTGGCACCTCTCCTGCTAGCCTGGGTGGCTGGTGCCACTGCTGCTGTCCCCGTGGTGCCCTGGCATGTGCCCTGTCCCCCACAGTGCACCTGCCAGATCCGGCCCTGGTACACGCCCCGCTCGTCCTACCGGGAGGCCGCCACGGTAGACTGTAATGACCTGTTCCTGACGGCGGTGCCACCGGCTCTGCCCACAGGGACCCAGACCCTGCTGCTGCAGAGTAACAGCATCATGCACGTGGAGCAGGGCGAGCTTGCCTACCTGGCCAATCTCACGGAGCTGGACCTGTCCCAGAACAGCTTTTCAGATGCCCGGGATTGCGACTTGCGGTCCCTGCCCCAGCTGCTAAGCCTGCACCTGGAGGAGAACCAGTTGACACGCCTGGAGGACCAGAGCTTTGTTGGGCTGGCGAGCCTGCAGGAGTTGTATCTCAACCACAACCAGCTCTACCGCATTGCACCCCGAGCTTTCGCAGGCCTCAGCAACCTGCTGCGACTGCACCTCAACTCCAACCTGCTCAGGGCCATCGACAGCCGCTGGTTCGAAATGCTGCCCAGCCTTGAGATCCTCATGATCGGGGGTAACAAGGTGGATGCCATCCTGGACATGAACTTCCGGCCACTGGCCAACCTGCGCAGCCTGGTGCTGGCAGGCATGAACCTGCGGGAGATCTCCGACTATGCTCTGGAGGGGCTGCAGAGCCTGGAGAGTCTCTCCTTTTACGACAACCTGCTGGCGCGGGTGCCCCGGCGGGCGCTGGAGCAGGTACCAGGGCTCAAGTTCCTGGACCTGAACAAGAACCCGCTGCAGCGGGTGGGGCCGGGAGACTTCACCAACATGTTGCACCTTAAGGAGCTGGGGCTGAACAACATGGAGGAGCTGGTCTCCATCGACAAGTTTGCTCTGGTCAACCTCCCAGAGCTGACCAAACTGGATGTCACCAACAACCCACGCCTGTCCTTCATCCACCCCCGCGCCTTCCATCGCCTGCCCCACGTGGAGACGCTCATGCTGAACAACAACGCCCTCAGTGCCTTGCACCAGCAAACAGTAGAGTCCCTACCCAGCCTGCAGGAGGTGGGGCTCCATGGTAACCCCATCCGCTGCGACTGCGTCATCCGCTGGGCCAACGCCACGGGCACCCGTGTGCGCTTCATCGAGCCTCAGTCCACCCTGTGCGCAGAGCCGCCTGACCTGCAGCGCCGCCCGGTCCGCGAGGTGCCCTTCCGGGAGATGACCGACCGCTGCCTGCCCCTCATCTCCCCCCGCAGCCTCCCCTCCAGCCTCCACATGGCCAACGGTGAGAGCAAGACACTGCACTGCAGGGCAGTAGCCGAACCGGAACCCGAGATCTACTGGGTCACACCTGCCGGGGTCCGACTGACACCTGCCCACAAGGGTGGGAGGTACCGCGTGTACCCCGAGGGGACCCTGGAGCTGCGGAGGGTGACAGCAGCAGAGGCAGGGCTGTACACCTGTGTGGCCCAGAACCTGGTGGGAGCTGACACTAAGACAGTCAGGGTGGTGGTTAGCCGTGCGCCCCTCCAGACTGGTGGGGACGACGGCCGGGGCCTGGAGCTCAGGGTACTGGAAACCCACCCCTACCACATCCTGCTCTCATGGGTGTCCCCTCCCAACACACTCTCCACCAACCTCACCTGGTCCAGCGCCACCTCCTTCCAGGCCCAGGGGACCCGTACCCAAGCCCGCCTGCCCCGAGGCACTCACAGCTACAACATCACCCGCCTGCTCCAGGCCACTGAGTACTGGGCCTGTCTGCATGTGGCCTTCGCTGATGCCCACACCCAGTTGGCCTGCGTGTGGGCAAGGACTACAGAGGCCACACCCTGCCGCGGGGCCTTTGGGGACCAGCCGGGGCTTATGGCCATCCTGACCCTGGCTGTTCTCTTGCTGGCAGCCGGGCTCGCAGCCCATCTTGGCGCAGGCCGGCCCAGGCGAGGTGTGGCCGGGCGGCCTCTCCTTCCAGCCTGGGCTTTCTGGGGCTGGGGCAGCCCGTCTGTGCGAGTGGTGAGCGTGCCCCTGGTTCTGCCCTGGAATCCCAGTAGGAAGCCATCTGGCTGCTCGGAGGAAGGCCAACCACCTCTTTCACTACCCTTGTCTCAAAACTCCTGAGGCCCAGCCTGTTCTGGGTGGTGGCGGAGGAGTAATCAGGACCGCTTTCTAACCAAAAGGGATGCAGCCAGAGGTGAAGGCTCCAGGAGGAGAGCCACAGGTACCCCCGCACACTGGAGGCCCAGTCTATGGCCCCAGAAACCTCCCCCCGGAGGAGGGGCGACTCTGGCCAGCCTCCCTGCCCCCTGCCTGCCCATTCATCTGGGGGTCCAGGGCTCCTGGTCCTCTGCTTGGCTGTCCCCTGCCTGTGACCCCCCTGCAGGACGCCCCCCTTGCTCCCTCTCCCCTTGTACAGTCTCAGTTGCTTGCTCTCCCCTATCCTGGGCAAGGACTGAAGGAGGCCTCTCCCGCCCATCTTGGGACCCACCCTCAAGGCAGAGGCAATGGCCCCCCCACCACAAGACAGACCTGCAGGACATGTGCAGACAGGGAGGCCTGGGGACGCCCCCTGAAGTGACAGCCCGAGCTCCCTGGAGCTGGCTTTCTAGCGGCGATTTTGTACCTTTGTGGAAAAATGTGTCACCTGCACCCCCAGCCCCATTCACTCTTTTCTCCTGTTTTGTAAAAAATAAAAATAAACTATAATAACAACAGTAATAAGGAGGGAGGGAGAGGAGGCAAAGAACCTTGGCTGTGTGAGTGGAAGCTCCGAGCTGGGAGTCGGCAGAGTCTGCAGTGGAGAGGGTTTGGGGGAATGGGGAGTCCCCTGCTTTCCTTTGTCCTTCCAGGAGCCTCTGGGTGCACCCCCAAGAGACTGCTGTGGGCAGGAGAGGCCGGCAGTGACCAGAGGTGGCAAGGAGAGGATGAGAGAAGAAACTGGAAAAAATGGAAATTTCTATCCCCATGCAGCGCTACCCCAGCTCCTGGTCTGATGAGCAGTTGCCAGGCCCAGGCCGAGAAAGAAGGTCCCACCTACTTCTCATGAAGACGGCCCTGGGGCAGCAGGGGACGAGGGAAGACTGAGGAGGGAGAGTGTTAGCTTTTTGAGCCGTAAACCCAAAAGCAAGACACAAGTCACACCACAGGTCTTTATTTCAGCAAGGGAGGCTGTGGAGAGAGAGCAAGCAGAGATCGATGGAGGGGGGAGAATGAGAGGGAGTCTGATGGGCTGCTTCCTGGTGGGAGAGAGCCTGACCACTTCACAGGGTGACCGTGTGAGGGACATGGCTGCCAGGGTGTGCAGCACTGGACTTTTATACATTTTAGGTGTGGGGGATCGGGGAAAGCGGCAGTTCCTCAGTTTGTGCATGCTTGTGGCTGTGACATGTCATCATGGCAGGTATTGATATGCACAAATTCGGTATTTGAAACATTTCTGGATGAGAGTGACTAACTGGAGAAAGACAGCACTGAGGCTAGTGAAGGTCTCTTCCGCTGTTTGTGGCCAGAGGCGGGCAGGAAGGAGGGATAGCTCCGGGACTCGGTGTTCCTGGCCCGTGATACGCTCTCCTGTCCTCTGATGCACTCAGCTCCTTCAGGAGTCACATCGCTGGCCCCCCGCACCTCCCCAAGACAGGCCTGCCGGGAGAGAGGGTGGGCTCAGGGATAGGAAGTTGCGTTCACTTGTTCACTTTCCATTTGAGGGGGATTGGCAACGAGGATGATCTACTTCTGCAGTTGTTCCTGTGGCTGTTAATCAGAAGAAGGAAAAAAAAAAAGTCGATTTTAGACAGCCAGATGTGAAGAACATGTATTGAAAACAGCAAAGTCAAGTTCAAGGCCACGATGGGGTTTGGGAGTAGGGAGGCAGCAGTTGCTGTCATTCCTGGCTGACCCACATTGCACTGCTCAGCATGAACAAGTACCCCGAGCCCAGGGAAGGCCCTGTAGTGTGATCTCATCACCTCCGCCAGCGTCCCCTGCAACCCCCAGCAGAGCGGCCGCAGCATCAGATGCAGACGCTAGGGGCAGGTGTTGGATCTCGCTGCTTCACAAGTAGGAGGAGGGGCCAAAATCCAGAGTTAGGAATTAATTCAGTCATCCAAGTCTCCTCCAGAATGTCAGGGAAACCAGTTAGGTGAGCCATGGCTGCTGTCCCCAGCACCTGCAGGGTTGGGAACCTGGAGTCTGGAGGCAGAGCCATGTGCAATGAACCAGGATGCAAGCACGGACAGCAGCATTGAAGCCGTAGGGACAAAGGCCCACACACCTCAAAGATGGCTCTAAGTTCTACAATGTCTATTTCTGTCTTAAGCTGTGACTTGGGGCCTATTGTGTTCATCTGCAGGGATGATTTCAAAACCCAACATAATCACTGAGCCTACTGTGCCCAGAGCTGCCTTGGACGACTCATCCTGCCTGCAGCGACCTCACTAACAGCTCCTTCAGACTTGGGGTGGAAGTGGGGGTGGCAATCCAGGCCGCAGCAGCTCCCCGCCACCCTGGTGCTGGCCTCTCATTTCTGCACCACCTGTAGAGCTGTCAACCATGGGCCTTAGGGGAAGCTGTCAGTCCAGAGTCTGTGTCACAGCGTTAGGTGAGACCAGCTGGTCCAGTGGAGGGGACCAAGGCTCCTTTCCTGGTCTTAGCCCTGAAAGCCCACATTTCAAGAAGTCTACATCCCAGGAAAACAGCACTTCAGGGATCCCCAGATCAATCCAAGCATTCCTCCGCACTACCTCTGTCAACAATTTTTTTTCTTTTAAAAGATGTATTCATTTGAAAGGCAGAGAAATAGGAGGAGAGAGAAAAAGAAAGATTGTCCATCTGCTGATTCACTCCCTAAATGCTAACAACAGTCAAGCCTAGGCCAGGCCAAAGTCAGGAGCCGTGAACTTCACCCAGTTCTTCCACATGAGTGTCAAGGATGTAAGGGCTTAGAACATCAGGTGCTGCCCCCCTATGTACATTAATAGCAAGTTGCATTGGAGTAGAGCTATAGGTCTCAAATCATTCTAACACATCATGTGGGTGTACTAAACAGTGGCTTAAGCAGTTGCACTGCAATACCTGCCTATAAGTTCCTTTTTTTCTTCCTTCTGCTATTTTTTATTATTATTTTATAATACAGTTCCATAGGCCCTGGGGTTTTCCCTACCCCCTCCAAATCCCTCCCTCCACACACATACACTGAGTTCTCCCATGTCATTACAACAGCATAGTTCCTCATAAATAGCCATAACTCCATCACTGTGGGCATGCACAATGACAGAAGGTCCAGCATCGCATTGTCAAGACACATCCAACAGTTTCCCTGGGAGTCCATCCTCAGTCCGGAAGTAGAGATGCACACTGTACTGTATCCTCACATCTGGACATGTCGTCTCCACTACAAAGTTACTATAAATCCCTCCAAGTGAAAAGTCACAACAAATCAATAACAGGAAGAAAAACAGAAATTTACAATGCCATGAAGTTAAAACATGCTACTGGATATGATAGTCTCCATTACACAGTGACCCTTAGATGAAAAGCCACAACAACAGGAAGGGAAAAAAAGAAATTAACACCACCACGAAGTTAGATGACATGCTGCTGAACGACTAATGTGTGGCTGAAGAAATGAGAAAGGAAATCAAGAACCTTCTTGAAGAAAATGACGCTACTGTATGATCTATGAGTCATTGAAGAATTTAATGAGAAAAAAAGTGTTTTGAAGAAATGAAACTAAAAACAAAAACATCAAAATCCATGAGATATAGTGTCCACTGATCTTTATTGGTGAGATATATCTACTGTAAGCATCAAATAGGTAGGTTTTGTGTTTTTAATCCAGTCTACTAATCTATAATGACTGATTGATGAGTTTATGCCATTTACATTCAGGGTTAATATGAATGGGTGGTAATTGGTCCTGTCATTTAGCAATGGGTTGTTCATTGATTTAGTCTTCTGTTATTATTTTCTGGGATGTTATTCACATTTGCCTTTGGTTTTGGTGGGCACTATTCCTTTCCTCTGTCAAGAGAACATCTTTAGGTATCCTTTGTAGGGCAGGTTTGGAAGAGATATATTCTTTTAACTTTTCTTTACTGTGGAAGAATTTTATTTCATTTTCAAAGACAAAGGAAAACTTTGCTGGGTATGTTATCCTGGGCAGACAGATTTTTGATTCTAGAATCTGGAATATGTTGTTCCATTCTGTTCTGGCCTGTAGAGTTTTTTGTGAGCGATCAGCTGTGAGTTTGTCATTACTCTATATGTCAATTAATTTTTTTTCATGTGCACATTTAAGGATCTTTTCTTATGTTCAATTGAAGAGAACTTAATTATCAATGTGTCACGGTGAAGACTGCTTTTGGCCAAGCCTGTTGGGAGTTCTATGTCCCTCCTAGATGTTGTTTCCCAACTGTCTCTCCAGGTTAGGGAAATATTCTTTTATTATTTCATTAAATACATTTTAAAACCCAACTTCTTTTTCTACACCTTCTGGAACTCCCATAACTCTTATATTTGGCATTTAATAGTGTCTCTTAATTCTTGAGTATTTTTTTTTTAGCTTGACTCAGCTCTGCTTCCAGCTTTTTGTTTCCCCATTGTGACAGGAAATATCTTCCAATTCTGACATTCTTCTGCCTCCTTCATTCTATTATTGAGACTCTTCACAGAATTTTTTAATTTGCTCTATTGCCTCCTTCATTCCCAATAATTCAACTTGATTTTGTTTCAGTGTTGCTATTTCCTCTGTGACATTTCCTTAAATTCCTACATGTGCTTCTCATTGTTGATAAGCAGCTTTATAACAAGTGTTTTGAATTCTGTATTCCCCATTTTCTCGATGTCTTCCTCAGTGAACTCTGAGGTTGGCAAAGGGTTTTATTTCTTTGCAGGGGAGTCTTCAGTAATATTTATTGTGCTTTTGTCTCTTCCTTTGCTCTTGGTCATTGTGCTTCTGGTTAGCAGATTCTTCTCCTTGGGGCAGGTTTTTAAGCTCTGTTACCCATAGGTGTGCAATTCAATTTTACTTATTGTGGTTGGTGCATGATTCTTTGCAGTCACTTGTGCCACTCCCTGCAGCGAGTTTGAGATTTGGGTTCTTATGTTAGACTTCCACCATGGTC